CCCCCCGGTGTGGCGGGCCATGTGCCCCCGGCCTGCCACCACTACAACAGGCCATGAGCCCGCCACCCGACCATCACTAAAACGGGCCACGAGTCCACCACCCAACCACCACTAAAACGGACCACGAGCCCGCTGCCCGACTGCTACTACAACAGGCCACGTGCCCACTGCCCGACCTCCCCAACAAGCACCTGCTGTATGCAGGCACCCCTGTACTGGGATGAACCACAGCCCTGAGCATGCAGGAGCAGCTGCCCCGAGGTCATACTGGGCTCAGGCCAGCCCGGGACATGATGGCAGAGGGAAGTGCTGGAGGGCTGTGCAGCTGGGGGCCACCCTGAGGAGCGAGGCCAAGTCAGCGTCTAAGGCACTGAGCCAGGGCCAGGCTGCTGGGAGGCCATGCCCTGGGCAGCAGGCCCGAGATGCCAGAGTGCAGCTCATGAGCAGCAAGGGCTCTGCCACTTGGTCCTTCCAGCCAGGTACCTGGACCAGGCCCCTGGGCTTCTGACCGTCAGTGTCCTTGCCGTGCCTTTCCCTGGGGGAAGGCAAGGAGATGCTCGACACAAGGCGGGACTACCGGGTGCTCCTTACGTGTTAGCTAGTGTCTCCACGCTCTCCATAGGCCAGGGCCCACGGCTGGCTTCTACTGGCCATCTGAATCCTTTCAGGTCAGGACAAACCTCACAGGTGCCTGGCATGCCCCTGACCTTCCAGCACCCACGCCAGAGCTTCAGAATGGACCTTGAGCCTGCGGTCAACCCCGACACAGGGCTCCAGAGCTAGGGTAGAGGAGGACTAGGGCTCTTCAGACCTGGCTACCTACAGGGGCAGGTCGGCGGGCAGGCCTGGCTGTGGATCAGCTCCTGGGATTGGGGCAACCTCAAGGAGGCAGGCCCTGGCTAGGCTCACTCGGCACAGCTCAACGGACCAAGTTCAGGTCGTCTAGAAGGGCTCCGCGAGTTGGGTCCTCTATTTCAGGAGCCGCGGCCACATACCTTTCTCAAAGAGCTCTTCAGCCAGCGCCGCGGTGATGCCATTAATCTCCTGCAGAGGAGACAGAACGTGCGGTGAGCAAGTGCCCTGCCCCGGCCCCGCGATGCATGTGCCCCGCGGTCTACCCCCTGCTGCTGCAGCGCCAGCTCCCTGGAAAGTCAAACACAGCAGAGGAGAGGAAGCCGGCCATGACGCAAGAAGCTCAGCAAGAGAAACCAGCTGGCCCCACTCCTCAGGTGGCTCCCTCTGGCATCCTGTGCCCAGGATGGCCCTGTCCATACTTCCTGTCACACAGACACCTGAAAAGTCTCCACAGAAGGAGACTGGAGGCCAGAGCACTGCTGTGCCTCCAGGTTCACACGGCACTGGCGGGGGGGGGAAGCAGCCAGCAGACTTGGCCACGCCAAGGGCTGGCCAGGAAGCCAACAGCTCCCACAACCGGCTCTGGGGGCTCCTGAGAGGGCAGGGCAGAGAGGAAGTTCTATTCCTTCTAGAAAAGAGGTTCCTATTTCCCTGGTGGGATGAAGGACCTCCCAGAGTCAACCCTCTCCCAGAATGACCCTTTCCACTCTCCTGCAAGTTGTGTCTCAGGAAAGAGGGCACACTCATTCTCGTCCAGATTCACAACTGCAGCCTCTGCCCCAGGGTCCCAAGCAGGCGCTGGAATCTTAACTCGCACAGAGTGATGGCCAAACACCTGTAGGTACTGGCTCGTGGGATCCTCCTGGTGTTCCACGAGAAGCTGCTGTCCTGAGCTGTTTCACAGACAACCCAGCTGAGGTGGGGAGCTGCTGTGACCCTCCGATTTCACAAGGTTAGAGACCAGCAAAACCGTACTCAACTGCATGCCCTCTTAGTTACTTAAATTTTAAAAATTACTTAATTTAATATTATTACGTAAAGAATTATATATTTATCTTTTATTATCATTATTATTCTTTAATTTGACCAAAGAGAGAGAGAGAAAAACAGAAAGAAAATGAGAAAACAAGCCACTGGGCCCAGGACTCGAACTGTGGCCAGCCATGTGGGAGTCCTACACCTTAAGCACCACGCCACCGGCTGGTCCCTATTATTATTATTATTTAAAATTTGACCAAAGAGAGACAGAGAGAAAGTGATAAAGCAAGCCGCCAGGTCTAGGACTCGAACCGTGGTCAGTCAGGTGGGAGTCCAGTGCCTTAATCACACTACCTGCCTGCCCCTGCATGCCCTTTATATAACCAACTGCCTGAGTACTACAGTGGTGTAATCGTGGGGCTGGCAGGGTCCCCTCTAGCCCGCAGCCCCGTGGCCCCCACAGCCTACATCCCACAGGTAAGAATTTTAACTAACTGGCAGACGGCAGCCAACAGGCCTTCGGTAAATAGGTCCAGATGGAGGCTACACAATTACCCTCACGGTCACAGGGACACGGCTGCCACCAGGACACGCAGTTCACGGGCTCCCGGGACTCGAAAGGCTGCAGGAGACAGGGTGTACTTTTCCCGTGTTTCTTTGGCTGTTTGTCTCCTCGGTATCTTTTACACATCCTGGCTATTTCGCAGTTGTTTACGTGCTGCCGAGGTTTCCTCCCGGCCTGTGAGTGATGCACACCTTGTTCGGGGTCGAGCTGACAGACAGGGTTTTCATTCACACCTTGTCTGACTGGAGATTCTTTTCCTTTACAATTTCGGGGACCTCTGTAATCTGACACTCCAGATTCTAAAAGTACTCTCCTAATTTCCTTTTGTTCCTTTACATCTTTATAAAAAAAAAAATTTCTTCATTTAATTTTGTTATTATTAATTATTATTTCTTAATTTGACCAAAGAGACAGAAAGAGCGAGCAAGAGAAGGGGAAAGTGAGGAAGCAAGCTGCCAGGTCCAGGACTTGAACTGTAGTCAGCCACGTGGGAGTCCAGCATCTGAACCATCACACCACCTGCCAGCTCCATCCTTTACGTATGTTTTTAAAATGTGCTTGTTTCTTTAAGTAATTCTTCCCAGCAGTCAGACTGCCGGGATCCCAGGGGCTGCAGATCTGCACCAGCCTCAGTTCCCCACGAGGAGCTCTGGGACTGCAGGAATAGTGTTACGGACACTGAGGCTCCTGCCGGTCTCCTGGGGGGGAAGGGCTCCCCACAAAGCAATACTGAGCAGTCCTTGCCCTCCGAAGTACATATATTTGAGAAGGTGGTGGAAAAATTACCCTGGACACTAGCCCCACTAAAGGGTCAGGGCTGGAATTTCTACAAACCACGGAAAGCTGAGTGACAGAGGGCCAAGGGCTCACTTGTGAGGAATCTCTAAAGCAGACCGCGTACCAGCTTCTCTGCAGCTCTCTGGGCACAGGAAGTGTGCAGCATTACAACACCGTCTACTTCCCAGGCCGACCTTCACCTTGGCGGGAGATGGGCAGAGAGGAGCACAGAAATGTCTTGGCCCTAAACCCAGAGTCCTGGCCTCAGCTCTCTGGGCATGCTGTAGGCTTGGCTTGTGTGCAGTCAGGCCTCCCAGATTAGGAGGAGAGAGGGAACCTCATTGGCCTCTGAGTCCAAGCCGCGGCAGACACTCCCAGGTGGTCACCTACGGGGACAGGTGGCCCTTCCACATGGCCCACTCCATCTGTGCCGAAAAGATCTGAAATGCTTTGGGGTACCCAGTGTCTGAAATGAAATGCATTTTTTTTTAAAGAGAGATTTTTTGCTATAGGGCATGTGTGCTCACTGGAGAGACAGAAAGCGAGAACTCACCCCCCCAGGAGGTGGCCACACCACCATCCATTCTCCTCCATTTTCCCCCAGGATTTTGGGCACGCATGCACACATGCCTGGCATGAATTTTAAGCTACCAGGTTCAGGACTCAAACTGTAGTCCACTATGTGGGAGTCCAGTGACGTAACCATTACACCACCTGCTGGTCCCCTGAAAGGCATTCTTTGTGGTGTGAGTGTAGAGCAGTGTTTTAGAAAGGGTCTGACCGTGAGAGCGCCTGCCTCGGCCTCCCCAGTGGCTGGGACCGCAGGTGTGCATCCCCTACACCTTGCTCAGGGTTTCAGGCTTCCCGCGTGGCCTCAGCCTGCGGAGCAGCAGTGTCTGATGCGTGCTACCATGGCTGGGCCCAAAATGCATTTCTTACAAAGACACCCTTATTCTTTATTTGCTAGAGAAGGCATGCACTCATTGGAGTAAGACCGGGAGAGAAAGAAGGAAAGTGAGAAAGCACCGTCTGTGGCTGCTTCGATTTCTTCTCCTCTGGGATTCAGGGCACGCGTGCACATGTGCCTGGCATGTTTTTCAAACTGCTGAGTCCAGGACTCAAACTGTGCAGTCCCTGTGGGATCCAGCTGCCCTAAATGCCACACTGCAGGTGACTCTAAAAAGACATTCTTCATACCTCAATAAAAATTTTAAAAATTGGGGCCAGTAGGTGGCACGGAGGTTAAAGCACTGGAGTCCACATGGTCAGCTTTGTGGTTTGAGTCCCAGACCCGGCAGCTTAAGAATCACGCTGTGAATGTGTGTGTGATTTCTCACTTCCCCTCTGTTTCTCTCCAGTGAGTGTACATACCCTATGGCAAAACCTAAAAAACAAAAAACAAAAACAACAAAAATCAATTAAAAAAAGATACTGACTAGAGCAGCAGGTGGCAAATGGGCACTGGACTCTCACATGGCTGACTGTGGTTCAAGCCCCACAAGGTTTGCTTTCTCACTTTCTTTCTCTCTCTTTGGTGAGCACACATGCCCTACGGCAAATTAAAAAATACTAATAATAAATAAAATAATTATTTTAAAAGACGTTAATATTGGCTGTGCTTAAAGACCATAATGTAACACACACCTGCCAAGTTTGTTACAGGCTGACTGATCAGCCACAACACCCCGCCAGGATCAGTGTCGGTGGGCAGATCTGGGTGGACGTCTGACCACGTAAGCACACCGCAGAGCAGGTAGGCCGCAGCTCTGTGACTTCCATTTGACTGAGTGTGTCTGCACCCTCCAGGCCTCCCGAGGGCCCCAGATCATTACTCTCCAGCTCACAGGACAGGCAGTCGGGCACAAAGAGGGTAAATGACCAATTTGGAAAAACTACTGGGAAGGAGCAGGGCTGGGATGAGAGAAAGAAACTCGGCTCTCTCTGTCTCCACGTCCACTGTTAGAAGTTAGGAAGCGAAAATCACCCCCAGGGGGGATGGCCGCGCCGCAATCCCTTCTCCTCCATTCTCCTCTCGGGATCTTGGGCACGCCCGCGCACGCGCCCAGTGTGAGTTTAAGCCACTGGGTCTGGGACTCGAACCGCGGTCGACTACATGAGAGTCCAATGACATAGGCCATTACACCAACTGTTGGTCCCCAAAATACACATATTTAAAATGTACAATTTGCTGAGTTTTGGCATATTTACATATTTATCACATGTTACAAAAAGTAAAAACGTTTTATCACCTCCAAAAAAAAGAAAATAGATATAAATCTTTATGACATTGATTAGGCAATGGTTTGTCAGATATGACACCAAAAATACAAGAGATCAAAGAAAAAATAGATAAATTGAACTAAAAATTTAATACTTAAAATCTAATATTTTTGTGCATCAAAGGGTATTTTTTTTTACATTTTATTTAACTTTATTTATTTATTAATTAATTTACTTATTTTAATTTGACCAGAGAGGGACAGAGAGAGAGAGAGAAAGTGAGAAAGCAAGCCGCCAGGTCCAGGACTAGAACCGTAGCCGGACATGTGGGAGTCCACCGCCCTTTATCACCACACCACCTGCCAGCCCCGCATCAAAGGGAATTATTGAGGGGGAAAAAAAGACAACCCTCAGAAGACCAGCTAGTGGCATGGTGGCTAGGGCAGCTGGATCCCACATGGCTGACTGCACAGTTCAAGTCCTGGATCCAGGGGCTCAAGAAACACACCAGGCATGGGTACACGTGTATGTGCACATCCCAGATTTAAAAGGAGAAATGGAGAGAAGACTACAGCATGACCGGCCCCCGTGGGCGGTACTCTCACTCCCTCATCCCCGCTCACTGGCAAATCAAAAAAAAAAAAACCAATCCAGGGAATGAAAGAAATAGCTGCATATGATCCTTTCGGCGAGTCATGTATCTAGACTAAATCAAGAACTCTTACAACTCATCTGACAGAAAGACAAATAATCTAATTTTCCAGAGGACGAAGGATTCAGATACATCACCCAAAGGCAATATACAAACGGCCAGTAAGTACAACGAAAAGGCTCAGTGCAATTAGTGACTAGGAAAATGCAAATCAGGGCCACAGTAAGATGCCACTTCACGCCACTAGGATGTCCACTGTCAAAAACAGTAATACGGGCCGGCAGGTGACATAACGGCTATGCTGCTGGACTCCCACGTAGTCAGCTGTGGTTTAGGTCTTGGACTCGGTAGTTTAAAACTTGTACCAGCTGTAAGTGCATGCCCAAAATCCCGTAAGGAAAACGGAGAAGGGGTTGTGGCATGGCCATCCCCCCAGGGGATGATTTCTCACTTTCTGTCGGTCTCTCCGGTATCTTCTAGCAAAAATCTCTCTTAAGAAAAAATAATAATTAAAATACCTATACATCGCCAATAGGAATGTAGAACAGTACAGCTACTTTATAAAATAATTGGCAGTTCCTCAAAAAGTCAGAGTTACTACATAACCCAGCTTCCAATCCTGGATATATAAGCGGGTTTTTAAGAAGTTAATGAAAAATGTGTATTATGAAAAAACTGCACAGGCTTCAAAGTTTTTTTTGCCAAAATAAACTTGTACTTTTTCCTCTCCTTCAGTTTTTAGTTTAGCTTTTTTTTTTTTTTTGTCACAAATAGGACTTTTTATTTGTTTTTTTGTTTTTTTTGTTTTTTAAGAGAGGTTTTTGCTATAGGGTGCATGTGCTCGCCAGAAAGAGAGAGACAGAGAGAGAGAAAGTGAGAAATCACCCCCCAGGGGGAATGGTCACGCCGCAAGTCCTTCTCCTCTCGGGATCTTGGGCACGCACGCACATGCACCAAGCGTGAGTTTAAGCCAGCGGGTCCAGGACTTGAACCGCAGTCGACTACATGGGAGTCCAGCGACACAGCCATGACGCTAACTGCTGGTTCCCAAAAGTCCAACTTTAAATAGATCCTTGGACTGGTGGTTCACATCCATCAGCTCGTTCACCACTGATGCCTGTCTCATCCCCAGTAGCTTCTCCAGAGCCACTGCCTTCACCAGGAAGCTCCGTGATTTCACCCATTCCAAACCTGGGCTTCTTCAGCATTTTGACTTTTCTGACAAAGACGTCATGGAGAGGGGAGATGGATTGGCAAGCCTGGTCTTTTCTGATGCTGTCTGGAATCAGTTTATTGACCACATCTTTCGAGGCACTTGTCTGCACCTCCCGGGTCCTGATTTCCATCTTCTTCCGGATTTGGTGGACCTGCCGATGCTGGGCAGAAGAGGTCTTCTGTATCTGATTGCTGCGTTTTTTGTAAACCCAATGCAGAAGAGACGAAGCTTCCATCATGGCCTGCCATTTTTTGACCATGGAACACACTTTGTCACGGGTGAGATCCATGCCGTAGAAGTCAGGCAGTTTTTGCCCTGAATGTCCTCAGTAATTAGCTTGAATTTCCTAAATGCGACTTCATCACTCTGCAGATCTGCAAGGCTCACTTCACACACACGGCCCTCAAGGCCGTCAGACGCAATTTTGGTTCCCTGAGTCCTGGTAACTAGTGTCTTCCCAGCATTTCTTATGTTGAACATAGCAGGTGCTTTCACGTCATACCAACCTTTTTTAGAAAATGGATCAACCCACTTTCTTCTTGGCTCCCTTTTTGCTGCCTTTTGTAAGGTGGGTTATTCTTGCCAACTGCCATGGTGCTACTCAGAGAGCCAAAAGGGCCTTCAGTTTTTCTTTTTTAATTACCTCTTTATTTAATTTTGTTATTATTATTCATTATTATTATTATTTAATTTGACCAAAGAGACAGAGAGAGAGAGAAAAGCAAAGTGAGAAAACAAGTGTTAGGTCTGGGACTAGAACCACAGTCAGTCACATGGAGGTCCAGCACCCGAATCACCATGCCACCTGCCGGCCCCAAACTTGCACTTTAAGCTCTATATTTCTATGATTTTTTAAAAGTTTTTTTTTTTTTTTTGCCACAGGGCATGTACACTTGCTAGAGAGAGAGAGAGAGAGCGAGCGAGCAGGAAAGTGAGAAATCACCCCTCGGGGATAGCCATACAGCAATCTCTTCTCTTCCACTCCCTTTCTGGGATTTTAGGCATGCACACACACATGCCTGGCAAGAACTTTAAGCTGCTGGGTCTAGGACTCGAACTGGTCTGCAATGCCTTAACCACTACTCCACCTGCTAGCCCCTCTATGAACTTTTAGAAATCCCGTGTATACACAACAGAAACAGAAACCTGAGCAGACACAGAAATCTATACACAATGTTCCTAGCAGTCAAAAACTACATTTCAAATTTTTTTTTCCCTTTTAGGTTGGTTTTTGCCATATGAACTTGCCAGGGTGAGGGAGGGAGAGAGAGACAGACAGACAAAGAGAGGGAAAGTGAAAAATCACCTCCCGGGGGGATGGCCACACCACAGTCCCCTCTTCAGTCTCTTCTTGGGATCCTGGGCATACATGCACATGCGCCCAACGTGATTTTCAAGCCGCTGGGCCCAGGCCTTGAACCACTGTCAGCCGAGTCCAGCACCTTAACTACCTCACCCGCTGCTGGCCCCACGATATCTCATTTTTTAAAAAAATTCACATTGCAGCTAATAGGGTTCCCTGGGTCCAGCCTGTCCAATGTCAGCTCACGGAGGTGCAAAGCGTTTGGAGCGATTTCTAAGAGGACACCGACGGTACAAAGGTTAACAGAAATACTCCTTAGACAGCTCCCAGCCTGCAGAAAAGGCTGACAAATCTTTTAGACGCTGTTCGAACTCAAAGATCTAATTCGGGAGTTCCCAACTAGGGGCAACTGTGCTCCCCAGGAGACCTCTGGCAGAGTGCGGAGGCACTTTCAGTCACCACGACTGGGTGGGGAACTGCTACCGGCATTTCATCGGCAGCGCCAGAGACGCGCCTACACCAAGCACAGGGCAGTTCCTTACAGCCAAGTCTCCTCAAAGTTAGTTCTCGGAGGCGGAACTGCTACCCGTCCTTAACGCGCTGATTTCGCACGACCAAACTGCCCTTCTTGAAGTCTGATGACTCGTCTGTCACCAGCAGCCAGGAAAGGTGTTCCTCTACCGGGCAGCAAGCGCAGAGCTGTTCCAGGACAGGATGTCCCATCAGAGGGAGGTGCCGACCCTCCGCCTCTCCCTCCACCTCGGCACCCTGGTGCGGGCCCTCACGATGCGCTTCACAGTAGCCATATTCCATCCTCAAAGACAGATCTTTTCATCAGTCTCCAGCTGTGAGCCAACACCCGACCCTCAGTCTACGCTGGGTGTCAGGAGTTTCTAACCCATCCTTCTCCGTTTGGGTGAAAACCTAGCTCAAACACTCACAGGCCATTTCTGCTAAACAAAACAGCGGGGTGGAAGAAAACTTCTCTGGCCATGTCTTATTTCAGGGAAATCTGTCAATGAACATGCTTCTGCCCACACCCCATCCCTAACCGGGGTGATGTCCCTCCACCTCCTAACCTCAAGCTCTAATCCACCTCCACTCAAAGCACCGGTCTACAAGGCTTTGCTGCCCTGAGCTTTGGCGGCTGTGGTTTGCACGCAAAGGCAAACGCCCCGAGAGGAACTTACGTAAAAGTGAAAATGCAAGAAGTGGGCCAGGACTCTGGGGGCCACGCCAGGGAAGGCAGCCAGGAGTTTCTGGAGATAGACCTCCAGGTCCTTCTCCCTCTTCTCCACCAAGCTTCTGGAGTTTTTCCCAATGATCTTTTTCGGTGGAAGCAGGTTTTTATTGATCTTTTTCTCTGCCACGAGCTGAAAGAAAACATAAGCACATCAACCCGTACAAGAGGGTCAGTGCCTGGAAGGAGGGCCAGGCGAGCGGCCTGAGCAGCTCCTGACAGCGTACAGGATGAGGGGTCTCACCAGTGGCCCCAGCATCTGGCCTCGACTCCAATTAGTATCAGAAAGTCTAATAGAATTCGGGACGAGGAACTCCACCCGGAGACTCTAGAGACGTTTAGAAAAGTAACACTGGGCTCTGAAAATCAGCATCTTTTCTAAACCAGAAAGAAAATCAACCCCACCAGCGATGTGTCTTTAAGACACTCATGCCGAAAATGACCCAGAGAGAGAGAGCCCTCTGCAAAAGCTAGGAGAAAAATGGAATCCCAGCCAGATATCAAAGTACACGCTCTGGAACAGTTAGTGAGGCAGAACAAGTTCAAACCTGTCCCCTCCCCAAGAAACTGTCCCAGCATCTCATATCCAACTTGGCGATCTTAGAACCGAAAACTCAAACATGTTCCCTATGAATGCTGCGTCCTAGGACTGAACTCCAAGGACCAGTTTGTTACCAGTTACATTAACACACGGGTTTATCAGAGAAGTAACTGACAGACATGGAGCCAGATCTGTCCTAAAACTAATACATGGCACAGTGGGAACGTGACCGAAAAGCCCCTAGCCCCTGAGACACAGGCTCCCAGTCCCCACGGGTTACCTTTTCATGCAGGTCATGGAAGTCACTATAGCGGTGCTTGACCGTCCACTCATGGTTGCCGTCAGTGACCTGGATGACGTAAACCTAAGAGGGGAAACCAACAGCTCTGCGGTGAGGGGAGCCAGCCAGCAAGGAGTGCCCTCTCATACAGCAACAGCTCAGATCCCGTCCACCCCCGACGACTGGCCTCTGCACCTGACCTTATTGAACATCCCCCCAACTCACCCCCGTGCTGTGTAGCCCCAGTGCCGAGTCTAGGAAGCTCAGGGACAAGCTGTGGCCCCACGTGTCAGTAAGAAATGGAAAGGTGGGTCTACCACAACAGGTCGCCTCATTCATTGTTCACCTCCTGCCTCCAGGTAGCTCAAAACCCACCCCGAGCTCTCAGATCCTGTCCACCCCCGACGACTGGCCACATCAAGCTGCCATGGCCCACTGGCCTCTGCACCTGACCTTACTGAGCATCCCCCCAACCCACCCCCGTGCTGTGTAGCCCCAGTGCCGAGTCTAGGAAGCTCAGGGACAAGCTGTGGCCCCACGTGTCAGTAAGAAATGGAAAGGTGGGTCTACCACAACAGGTCGCCTCATTCATTGTTCACCTCCTGCCTCCAGGTAGCTCAAAACCCACCCCGAGCTGCAGGCAAGGCCACCCTTTTCCAGGCAGGTAGAGCAGGGTCAGGTCTGGCAGCACCACCTTCTCTGCTGTGTCTTCCCAGGTGCCCTGACCAGATGCTTCTGGGAAGCAAGTCCTCTTCCAGCCCTTTCCACTGGTTTATGGCAGCAAAGGCTGCAGCTGAGCCAGGAGCCAAGGTGTCAAAAAGCTAATGAGGGGAGGCAGTGCTGGGCACTTGAGCCCTAACAGGAGATAATGTGGCCTAAAGGTTGGGAAGACCTGGGTTTGAAACCTGGGTCTGTCATTTCCTGGTTGTGGCTTAGGTGTCACCTCTGTGACTGGGAGCCTAAGCTCTCTCTGAGCCTCAATTCCTCCATCTTAATGTGGTAGTTTCCGGATCAAGTGAAGTTAAGCACAGGCATTCGCTCTGTGCAGGGCCTGGAACGTAGTAGGCACTCAAAAGGCAAGCGTTAATAATATCTAAGTTGGCCACCTGCCTGGCTTGCCACCTCTCCCTGTCACACTCAGAGGAAGGGCTCAGCCCTGAATAGGGAGGGCTTTTTGAAGATGACCCTCCAGGTGAATGCTGCCCCCGGGTGGTGGCCAGCCAGCTGCCCTCACCTGGCCAGGGCCCCCTGATGCAAGCTTCCCTCCACTCAGCATCATGCAGGGAAAGGGGAGGAGAAAACCGGCAGCTCAGCTCAAGCCTGCAGCCCAGAGGAGCAGCCATTTCTCCAGGGCCGGCCTGTTGCTCCAGAATCCACCCCCAGCTCCTCTCCCCATCCCGGAGGCTTCCCTCCCCTGGCCCCCGGGAAAGGAGAAAAAGCAGTGGAACGTCCCTGGGGAGGGGGGTGTTAGGATGGGGCCAAGGGGGTGGGGCGCAGGCAGGGCTAAGCTCTCCGGGAACAAAGGAGAGGGGTCTGGGAGGTGCTCAGTGCACCCCCCCAGAGACACGCACCCCCTCCAGCTCACAGGCCTTGGCGCCCAACCCCGCCACCGTCGGGAACTACCCCCTCTTCTGTTTCCCGTCCCCTCATAGCCTAGATGAACGTGTGTGCAGCTGACTGCCCTACCTCGCCCCCACAGCCCAACGCCTCGAAGCCCCCCTAAGGTTTCTCGGTCCCGCGCTTCGGCGCCCCCATCTTTCCCCAAGGCTGGTGTTCCACTCCCGGTTCTAACCTCCCCGCCGACCCAGAGCCTTAGCGCCCTGGACCCCTCCGTCATTTGAGATGCCCGCGGCCCCCCAGAGCAGGGCACCGCCCTCGCCAACATCCTGGCCGGACCCATTCCCTGCCTCTCCATCCGCCGGCGACCCCTCCCCAATTCGTCGTGCTCCATCCCCTTTCACTGCCGCGGCGTCCTCCGGGTCTGGACGACCTAGAGGGGCTCCGCCCGATCCTGACACCCCCCCTCCGCAGACCCCCTGGTTCCCCAGACGCCCCCAGCCCCAGCTCCCTTTTCTACTCTTGCACCCCTTTCCCAAAGCTCCTCCCAGGGCCGCGATGTGCAACCTCCTCCTGCACCTGTGGGGCTCAGACCCTTCCCCAGGGTCCCCCGTCCCGGGCCCTCCTCGACATCGCAGATGCTCTCTACCCGGCGGTGGGACAGACCCCTCCCCAAGCACGCCGACTTGGGCCCCGTTTCCAGC